TCTAACATTTTCAAACTTCACAAGTTACATACCATATTATTTCGTAACAAATTTAAAATAAATGAATTATAATTATTCAACATTTCAGTTCTGTTCAGTTCTTTTCAGTTCTGTTCAGAAAACTGTTCAGGCGCCTATTCAGGATAAATATTGTATTACTTATACAGCGAAAGTAGAATTTTTCAAAGGACGTAACGAAGTAAAGTTGTAGCTGCTTACTAATCACATCTCTGGAGATTAATATATATAATTGCAAGTTGTAATAAATTCATTTACGTTCAAGTTTTGTCAAAATCAGAGGGAAATACATTCGAACTCGAGCGTCTCCGTTGCTGACTCAAATTGCCAACATCTCACTTCTACATCCCACCAAAACCACCCCCAAAAGAATGTCAGCAACCTGACAATAGCCCTTTTTGCAACACCTCGCTTCTACATCCCACCAAAACCACCTCCAAAAGAATGTCTGCAACCTGACAACAGGCCTTTTGCCACCACCTCACTTCTATATCCCACCAAAACCACCCCCAAAAGAATGTCTGCAACCAGACATACCTTCTGCACACACTGCTTGTCGGGGTGCGTGTCTAAGGCGACACGCTCGGGCACCGGTGAGCGTGACGAACGCGCGTTTCGAGCCGTGTTCGGCGCTCGTCGCCGTCGCAGTCGCGTCGCATCACGTCGCGTCGCATCACGTCGCGTCGCGTCGCGTCGCGTAGGCGCCGCAGGTGCGCAGAGAGGCGCTCTCGGCCTTCATCCAGCGCTTAGTAGAGCTGCGCGCGCATCTCTCTCTTCCGGTTGCCATCGAGGCCGGCGACGGGATGAGATGGGAGATCGCGTGCAGCCGCCGTCGCGGTCTGCTGGCGCTCTTCCGCGGGATGGCTGTATGTATGTAAGATCGCTATCAGCGTTTGGCCATTAGTCTCTATAGCCCACAATGTGGAACGAAGTTTCTACGGGACAAACAAGTGTCAATGTAAAACAGTCGACTTTCGGCTAGTAGTGTAGTATTATTTTGTCCATACTGTTTCGAATTTTATTTTTGACTTACTACATAAGTAGTAAAGAGAAAGTATTGTAATTGTGTGACTGTAATTGGCAGTTTTTTCAACCCAAAAACTTTTATTGTTGGGTCCTGGGATTGAAAAAATGCATATATCTTGTTCCTACTTACAGTAAATTACTTCTCCACAAGTCGTGTAGATAGAATTTTCGTTTGGTTGGTACTTGATAATCAATTGACGGCAAAACGTCTTGGTCAGAACTCTCTCTCTCTCCCTCCCTCTCTGTCTCTCTTCCTGTCTGTCTCTCTTTCTCTTCCTCTCGTCTCTCTCCTTCTCTCTCTCTCTTTCTCTTTCTCCCCGTCTCTCTTTCTCCCCACGTTTCTCTTTCTCCCCGTCTCTCTTTCTCTCTATCTCTCTTCCTCTCTGTCTCTCTCCTTCTCTCTCTTTCTCCCCAGCTCTCTCATTCTCCCCACGTCTCTCTTTCTCCCCGTCTCTCTGTCTCAGTCTGTCTGTCTGTCTGTCTGTCTCTCTCTCTCTCTCTATCTCTCTATCTCTCCCTCTCCTTGTCAACGTCAGCGCCTAAGCTGTTCAGAAGATTTGCTCCAATAGTTGTTTTTTTTTCAATTGATGATCTCTACGAAATCAAGGCCCTGCGACTTTGAAACGGGGGAATGTCTTATATCATTTCACGATAGTCAGAATTGCGTTTGAAAATAATGCCAGGGAGCAATGGTGAACTGTGTAACTATGCAACTGTGAAAAAACCCCTATTCGTTACTACTTTTATTCGCCACTTTTTCTTTGGAACACAAAATCGCCTCTTTTTCCTTTGGCCTGCAAATGTACAATGATACCTATGAATATTTCCCTCATTGTTCGGAGCCTCAAAAAACACACGGTCTTTACGGCTATGTCCAAAAGCAGTGGCTCAATCGAGTTTTCCCGTCAACACGTAGCAAGGAAACTGGGGTCACCACAGGTCGAAAAATGGCTTTTCCGTAAAAAGGTCCCAACAAATACGATGGACACCGGAAGACGTTGGCGCATCACACTGGACTCCGGACTACGGAATCAACCACAAACTACGCTTTCTCTACAGAAGTGGTGACGGTTGGGCAAGGACATGCCTTCAGGCAAGACTTTTGTTGTGTAAGTCAAGATTACATTGCCATGGCGACAGTCGCAAATAAGACACCTTTTTGTTTGCAATTTCACTTCGGCATTTTTTTATACAGACTGCTAACAACAGAAACTATTTTAATGCAATTATATAAGTGGACTCTTTGCGTTCTTCGTTGCTGCTTGTGGATTTATTTTTGCTCACTTCGCGAAATAAGTGAGCAAAAAAAATGTTCTTCGTGAATTTGGAACGTGGTTTAGAAATACGGGTCTTTGATACAAAAGCTGCAGAAGGGTCAAGCGGCCTATTTGGAAGGTACATCTGTTTGGACCTTTTTGGATGTTTGGATGTAGTTAACTGGGTAGAAAAAATTGGGTCTGCAAATACGGTAAGTGATTTTTAACTGTGAATCAATTGGAAACAATTAATATTCGTCAAATCGTGTATATGAACATATGAATTCGCTCATTTTGAAATTATTTTCTTTTTCAATATTCAAAGTTCCTTTGAAATAAGAGTGAGTAACCGATTCATAGTAAATATTTATTTAAATTATTTGTAATTTATTTAATGATAATAATTATTGGAAATCATGAAGACGTGTGTATTGTTTTAATATTATTGAGTACTTGCCATATTTTGTTTTCACAAAAATAAATATTACTGCAAACACATCCATATTTTCTATCTGTTAGATCCTATTTCCACATCTTTTCAACGAAAACGATGAAAAAATGGGCAGGATGTAAGAGGTTTGAAAATCAGTGAAACAGAAGGTACTAGATGACGAATTAAGTATTATTATTTATGCGATAGCTTGTACACAGTAAAAGCTGTTTACGGTCCCAATGGTGTGTGTGCATTATGGCGCTTGATCAGAAGCCCTGAGTTATGTATTCATTGTCTATTTCACTTTGAGTATCATTGTCGAGGCACTTTTGAATTCGTCGATAGTCAGAGGTTTTCGTCGTGGTAACAGTGGAAAAAAGTGTGAACAACTAATCTATATTGTACTATTCGTAGGTCACAGCTGAAGAGTCGAAAAAGACAACGTGGAAGTTAGAGAATAAGTCGAGTTGTCCTCTTGTTAGTCTTCAACGTGTTTTCTTCGAGAAGCCGTTCGTTGCGTCTTTCTAATGGCCTAGTCACTTATTGAGGTGCACGATGGTCGCTGTAACAATGAAAATGCGCGATGAATTGGAAGTGAATCAGGAAAGGTATTAGTTACTCAAATAAATTAATGTTACGATCATAGAAATAAATATGAACTCAAATAAATAATTCGAGGGGGGAGGCGCGGTGGCGGGGGCGACGCGCTCACGGCTTGCCGCTGCGGCGGAGGGGCGTGGCGCGAGTGGCGTGGCGCGGAGCGCGCGCCGGAGGGTGCGGGGCGGGGCGGCGCAGCATGCGGCTGCTGGCGGCGACCGTCCTAGAGGGCCGGTGGGCACCTTAGCGGGACTCTGCGAACCAGAAAACACACGAAGTGATTACCGTTGCCCCTCCGCCAAAGCATCAGATTTTTTTTTTTTTAGCAAAAACAGGAAAAGTGAGGAATGCAGGGTAAAAATTTGTAATGAATTCGTTCTAGAATATATGATTTAAAAAATGAGAAGATACGGTTTTCGGTCAGGATTTTCCTTTTACATTTCTTTGTGAATTGAGATCAGTGGTAATCGTTTAATTAATAATACGAAAATTGGCAGTGTAAGAGAAATGTCTGAATATTGAAACTATGAGGCAGCAAATTTGCAATATGTTCGATGATTTACGGTGATAAGGACATAAACTTCTAAGAGATTAGAGCTTCAGTGACAGCTAACGCTTTAACATTTTTCTGCAGTATTTTTTTTTTCGGAGACAAGGAGAACATAAAATATCTCTGTTGAGTATCTAGTAAATTAGCTTGTAAACATGCACTTGGCATGACTAGCAGTACGTAGGAGTACAAACTGATAATTCATAATTGTTATTAATGGTATGTGTTTAAACAGTATATTACAAAAAACATGTAATCGTTCAGAGATGGTTTCGACGATCAAAAGGAACATTTGTTTACATTTTACATTAACATAATTTATTAGACAGTTAGACTTTGAATGGATTTTTGAAGTATCAATCATCGACGAGCCGGAGGCTGCGAACTCTTTATCCTGGGAAAGGAATGTTTCTCTATGCATTTTTGGCAGATTAGAGCTCTTATGAATGTTTCTAAGATATTTATCATCTTAAGGACATCAAAGAAGACATTCGATAGAGTGCTCTTGAGAAATTTTTTGCAGATCAGGGTACGTGCACAAGAAATTCTTTTAAAAACGGAAGGCTCAGAATATTACTATTAGCTACTGCTATTATAGATCGAAAAAGTAATGATTAGAGGAGTACATTATACATGAAAATATAGTACATCTTATACTCATGTATATCATACATATGTGTATATCATATATATATTATATATATATATATATTATATATATATATATATATAATATAGTTATACATATAAATGTAATGACCAGGTATGAGTAAATATTATGAAGAGTATGAGCAGCGGTGTGATGTGCAGTGATATGAGCAAGTGATTATGAGGGGTGTGGGTGGGGGTACTCACCGGGTGGGGCGTCGGTCGACTAGGTCTGGCGCCGGCGGCGGGCCCGCCGGCGGGCGGCGGTCGGGGTGGCGGGCGCGTGCGCGCGGTACGCCAGGTCGTGGGCGGCGGGGGCCGGCGGCGGCGGGCGGCGCCGGGGGCGGCGCCCAGCTGCCGGCCCAGCCCGAGCTGCCGCACGTAGCTGTCGTGGCCGTGGCCGTGCGCGTCCGCGCCACGTGCGAAGTGCGAGTGCGAGTGGCGGGTGCGCCAGCACCTCGTACGTCACGTGGCGCTGCTGGGAGAAGAGCTGCCGGCACACGCAAGGCGTTCATTGTGGGTGGCCAAAGAAATTCCAATAGGAATTTCGAAAGTAAATAATATATTAACTTCTTTGGGAAAGATCCGCGGGGTGGCAGCTCTTCCATAAGTCGGGCAAGTAAATACATTTAAATTTCAAGCAAGTAATACGTTAAATTC